ATGTCATAAACAAAAACTAACACTACAGATCGCGTAATTTGTACCAGCTATATCAGGAAATCAAGTATTACGCAATAGACTAACATAATCAAGCAAATAAACAATTTAATTTCTGCGCTATTCCTAAATTATGTTTACATTGTGTTCGCATTATCGTTATGGTGTGGTGTTCCTTATACACCCCTGACATACATCATGATTTTCCGTATATAGTCTGTTCATTACGTATGCAAACCATAATTTCTGACACGTTCCGAGCAGATACCAAATGGAAATCCTTGCGTTCCTTATGTGTCCCTGACATGCATTCCTGACGCATTGATAATCGTTCCGTATGATTCTGTAAAATACTGTATGCGTAACGTAATATCCCGTATAAATCACGTAAAATTCCGGATGCACTTTTCCCGTAGGGAGCTGCAGAGTGGTATTATGTCGAAGTTAAACTTGCTACAAGAAAAACATTTTATTAACGCCATGAAAATTTTTGACCACTAATACTATGGCATATTTAGAATTAATCTAATACCAAATATGAGTCAATGATTTGTCATGTTACGTAGTATAACAATGTAAATCGCGTCGACCAGCAACTGCATGTATTTGAATTACTTTGCCGAAATCTTTATTATACTGTCTGACCTCTATTTAGTCACACCGTCGGTAAAAAATAAATAGGTGATAATAAAGAGGTTGTGACTATATAGAGGTTTTTTATATAGCATTATTAAGTATTGGTTCCAAAGGGATGTGACTATAAAAACCCTGTAATTATAGAGATTTTTTTATATAGCATTAATAAGTGTTGGTTTTATGAAAAGCGTGCTTATAAAGAGGTTTTTATACGAGGTGACTATATAGGGGGTGACTATAGATAGGTCAGACTGTATTGAACCACAAGACTGATAAGAATTGGATATTAGAAATAAAATTCATATTTGTAAATTTAATTCAATGCTAAACTTATTATTAATCAACCGCGAGATAATAAAAGAAACCGGGAAATAATAACGATAAAGTATTAGATTGACTTTGTAAGTTGAGACTCAAATTTGATATGTGGTCATTCATTATTATCAGGACGAATAATTTTTCTTATCAATTCTTAGATAGATCAGTGCTATTTATTAAGGTATAATTTAATGTTTGATTTTCAATTCAATCTGAGTGAAAAGTCTTCAATGATCTTCCAAGCAGAACACATAGGCACGATAGTAATACAAGATATGTATTTGTCATCTATGATACATAGTGATAGATGGGTCTTTTCTAAATTGAAGCAGAAATATAATTGCAGCCCAAGCGAAACAAAATCTAACTTCGCAAGACATTGTTTTAGATTTCCATGATCCAAGAAGCATATCCATACTGAAAAACATCCTTTTTTAACCAGATATTTATTAATTGAAAAAAATAAAGAACAGGATATTACCTTCTAAACTTTTACTGAATACATATCATGGTATATCTTTGTTATTAGGATTCAACAATCTATTTGTAACGCTTGATTATGTTTCGCATTTAGTCCAAATCCAAGGTACTCCAAATCTTGCAATTTTCTTGCATTCTTTATCACCGTCGATACCTTAATTTCGATAGAACATTAATTCGCTCGCTCATGATAATAAAAGCATTTCCAGCAGTACTGTACTTAGTTTCCAATTATGAGTATACAAACTTTTAAAAGAGCATTTGTGAACGTCAACGTAAAAATTTCACCTGAAAAATGACACAGGATAAATCTTGGATCTTCCGTAATGGTAACGGTAATACGTAATAGTAACGGTAACTTTTATAACACAGATACGTAACAATTACATGTACGTATTTCCGAATGGAGAAGTCCATTTACGTTACTGCGTACAATGCTTTCCCAGCAACTGGTGATACCGATACATGAATTTGAATGCTATCACTATAAAATTCTATCCTTCATTTATGTCAAAAAAGATTCTCGAATAAGAATTTTTAAAAATGCCAATCCAAATCTTCCAAATCTTTGGTCTTATTTTCACGTAACTACAAACGATGGGTCAAAAAATATCGACACGCCTGTGTCATTGCTAAATGTCCAAGTTGAAGCGAATGGTAAGCAAATTCTATTTTTTTATTAGCGTTAGTTTATCATTTCTAATTTAATCTCGTTTACTGTAGTTGTTGATATCGAAGGTAATTTAATTTTTACTATCGCTATCGCTATTTATTGGATAAAATAATCGACGTATATTCATATTATCGTTATTGGGAAATCCAGTTAAAATCTCACAGACATAAAAAAACATCGAAAAGAACACAATCGACGCTAGCTACAAATTTTCAATTCACGAAGCGGCAGCTGTTTGTGGCTTCGAAGCTAAACATGACGACGGGCAAATTATTAAAGGAATCGTTAAAGAATCGCTCAAGCAGTGAAAGAATACAGAGAAGCAGTCTCGGTAAATCTAAAATCTATCTCCATCTTTTTTTAGATTTGTTATTAAATTTCTTATTTTGAAATTATGAAATAAGCAAGGAAAAGGCGCATATCTTCTTGAGGAAAATCTTCCTGATGTTTTTCAATGCTCTCTTGGTAACTTATCCCCCGACCAAACAATAATTATCAGAATTACCTATGTCACTGAGCTGAAACATGACTCATAGTCAGAAAAAATCCGTTTCGTCTTACCAACTGTTGTTTCGCCTCGATACTCACCTGGAGATTTTCCGAAGATGTGACAAATGGAAAAATAGTGACCGCAGCTAATCCAAGTTACGCTAGTACTGAAATTGCGAAATATACTTTAGGACTTTCAATCACATTTAGAATGACGGATACAATTACAAGTATAGAGTCGCCTTCTCATTTGATTTCTACCGAGTTAAATATTAATGGCGATGCTAAAGTCTCGAGAACTAGTTTGGCTGAGGAAATTACTTACTTAGAAAGAGACTTTATTTTAGTGGTTGAAAGTAATGGATTGGATGAATCAAGGTATATATTTTCTTTTAAATTTCATCAACTTTTCAGAAAATATGTTTCTCATTTGGTTTCCTTTTAATTATACAGAGCATTTATTGAGCACAATCCAAAGACAGAAACAAATGCTGTTATGTTAACTTTGGTCCCAAATTTTCACAAAGTGTGGCAAAAATGAGCGAAATGATATTCGTGGTTGACAGGTATTATTTAATGTATACTAATACTATCAGCTATTTAGTAAAATGAACGATAATAAATTTTTGAAAATTAAATTCTATAGGTCAGGTTCAATGTCTGGTCGTAGGGCATCACAAGCTCTTCAATTGATTCTTCGTTCACTTCCGAAAATTGTCCTTTCAATATCGTTTCTTTTGGGAGCATATTTAATTCCTTGTTTAAAGAAAGTGTACGCTATTCAAAAAATACATTTTCAAAAGCTTTAACTCATGTCGAAAATATGGGTGCTGATTACGGTGGAACAGAAATAAAAGCTTTCTCGAATGGGTAGTTAAGACTGCTCGTAGTGATATGCCGACCTCTGTTTTCTTATTAACGGATGGTAAAGTACGGAACGTTGACGAAATAGTCCAACTGATTCAGAAAACTGCCAACAATCCAAAGAAAACTTTCCGACTCTTCTCTCTAGGGATTGGATCTAGTGTCTCGCATCATTTAATCGAGTCAATTGCTCGAGCTGGGAAAGGCTATTCAGAATTTGTCACTGATGAAGAACGTATGGATAGAAAAGTTATCGGGATGGTTAAGAATGCAATTAAAAACGCATTAACTGATTACAAAGTAGAATGGATTGACGAGACGCCAACAGATAGCAAGAAAAGATTATCGATTAGTTCATTTCCTTTGGATTCGTCGAAAAAAAATGAAACCAAATTTTGTCAAGCTCCCAATTCTATTCCCGCCATATATTCGGGCGTGCGTGTGGTAGTTTACGCGATTCTGGCGAAAGGCGTTGAGCCTAAAAAAATTATAAATCTTTCAGCACAATCCCTGGATAGTCCGATTAAACTTGATGTTAAAGTAGATCCAGTAACTCTTCAGGGATCGCAAATACATACTTTGGCTGCTCGGAAATTAATTCGGGATTTGGAAGAAGGCACATCCAATCTGCATGCGGATTCTACCGAAAAAGATAAAGTTTCCGACGACCTTGCCTTGTCAAAGAACAAATTATTCGTTTAGGTAAAAATTAACTATTTTATTCTATATAAAAATCATATTTATTAACATTAATATATTTTCAGGTATTACTTTCAGTCTTGCGTCAAGACATACCAGGTAATTTTTTTATTATGCTAAAGCGAGCACGTAACTAAAGTATATTGGTTTTTTGTTTATTTTCGACATTGTAATTTTCTAGCAATTAACGAGAAAACTAACTCGGAAATCGCTAGAAGTGAGACACTTAAACAAAAAGGAGAAGTTCCAGGACAATTAAAATATCATACTTCTAGTGCTCCAATGGTTTTCCAACTCTTTTTATTTATCAATTCTCTGATATAATATATTTATTTGTAAAATAGCAGATGCATTTATGGTATTTCCATCTACAGCACATTCAGGGAGTTTCTTACGCTCACGCTCACGTTCGTCGTCGTCACGAAGATCTATGCAACGATTATCATCAACTTTAAACAAATCAGCTCCCATAAGATTAAATTTAAAAGCTCAAACGTCACAAGCTCAAGATCAAGAACGATCACCATCATTTGATATAAAGACACCAACTATCAAAACATTATACGAATTTCTAAAACTAAATCATTCGATGGAAAGTTCGTTGCAAATTCTCAGGCTTGTTTTCCGGTAATGATTCCATGCTGATTTTGTATGGACAACAGCTGTGGCGATTGCTTATTTGGAAATTGTGATGAAGGAATTTAAAGAAGAATGGGAATTTTGTTATGAAAAGGCAGAACGCGTATTAACTAATTTAATCGAGAAAAAGGATAAAAGTAAGAAAGTTGAGAATATTGTAGCGGAAACTCATGAATGGGTCCAAAGTGGTTTACAAGTAAATGAAACGGCTCAATAGAAATGTTATATTTCTTATTCTGAAATCAAATAAACCTTTCTTTTTGTATTATTGATATATTTATTTCGCTTGCTGCAATTTATTTGCTATTGCTATAGGTTGGTTATTTTTATACTAAAGTGTGTCAGCAAAAGAATGACCGTTATTTAGAACAAGTAGTAGAGCTAACGTTTACAATTTCGGTATAATTAATGGGAGGGGGTTTAGGAACCATTAGATCCTCTAATTCCGTAATTCTGATCCCTAATTTTCGCATGAACATCTTTCCATAACGACCTACATGAAAATCCCTCCAAAATTAGTTTCTTGTGTAAGTTCTATTGTAACCAAATTTAGATAGTAATACGTAGATACATTTAAGATCAATTTTGTATGCAAAATTATGTTACGCAGTACGTTAAAAACTATCTGAGACATGTTTCGTTTCTTTTCCGACTACTACCATTAATCATAAGTTTGTTTTCAAAGAATTAGATTATTATAACATTTATTGCTTCTATTAGGTATTTGTAAATAAATTTCTGCTACACTTTAATTTACTATAAGATGTTGAAGATAGATCAGATTTCGTAACATGGAATGGGTAATAGTAAGACAGAGAGAAAAGATGGAAATTTAATATTGAATCAAAAATAATGAATTTATTACAAAAGCGTGGTTTTCTCGAATTATTTGTTCTATTCATCTTGAGAATTTAATTCAACAAGTACAACAAAAGCATCTTGATATTCCTCATTTGCATTTATCCAAGTTTCCCTTCCAGCCACTGCAAATTTACCCCATAAATTTGCAGACAATTGTGTTTTTTTATAAACTTCGTTCTCAAATGATAGTAAAAATAATCCAAATGCGCTTTTATTGCTTTGGTTGTCAACCAAAGAGGTTGGTAGAGATGAACTTTTCGCCTTTTTGATTTCCAGGAGTACTTTGAGTGTTGGCACTGGGATATCAATAATTAAATCATTCGAAAGTTTTGCTGTTGCGTATAGCATGCTGTGTTAAATAAGTTCTGTGGTTTATATTTCTAAAATAATTATATGAAAAGAATAGAATCATATAATTTTATTTTTTATTCATTTTCTACGGATTCTCTCCTTATATAAATCAATCTTGTTCTTTCTTAAATATAATGAGACAACAGTATTAATTTGAATAAATTAAATTCGACCAGCAGGGTAAATTTACCATAATAAGTTAAAACATGTATATTGCGCCCAGTCTAACCACATCAAATACCTTGAATTGTTTTCATATGAGCTTTAAATATAAAACACAAAATCCGCCAGGATGACCCCCAAAATTTCGAGCCACGTGATAATTTTTAATGATGTCAGTGAAGATAACCAAATTAAATGGCAAGACCAACATGTAACAAAAATAAACAAAAAAAGGCTATTTTTGAAAAAAAAGCTTGTATCTCAAAATCTAGCCTATGAAACTATCTTTTGTGTTCTAATAAAAAATGGTCCTTGCAAATTTTAATATAAGCACATTCTTTGTTTGCCAAATAAGCTTGACCCAGATCCTTTTTGCATCGAAAAGAATGTATTTATTTTACCTGTGAAAATATTTATTATGGTATAATTATATTGATATTACAAAAATTACATGTTCTGACTTACAAATTCTAACTTCTATTTATGACTAGTGATACTAATGGAAATTAAAAAAATGTGCTGTACGTAATCGGATTGCACCCCTAGCTTGCAAATCATTTCTACAGCATCATTTCTACAGCACTTTTTTAGCTTGTAATACTCTGCAGAAATTACGTCAGGTATCTTTATTTATATTTACATTAAACTATTTGGTATTATATATATACGGTGGCAATTAAAAATAATGCAACGACGTCAAAATTTATTAATTAAACATAGTAAAATGTGGGGAGTTTTTTTATATAAAGTTTTCAATTTTACTAATAAATACTTTTTAGTTTTTACATTAAATGAAGATCATATCACATATTTTTTTCAGATTTTTTAGATTTAATCTGATGAAGCTGTTCTAATTGCATTATTTTTTTATAATTAAAATCTATAAAAAATAATCAACTTTATATGCAATTAGAACAGCTTCATTAGATTAAATCTAAAAAATATGTGATATGATCTTCATTTAATGTAAAAAATAAAAAGTATTTATTAGTAAAATTGAAAACTTTTATATAAAAAAACTCCCCACATTTTACTATGTTTAATTAATAAATTTTGACGTCGTTGCATTATTTTTGACCACTGTATATAATCTCACAAAAAAAAGAATGCGATTATATCCATTTAATACTTTGTTAGAATTACCCAAGATCCAGAGATTAAATTTAATTGGCGTATATTTATAGTGATCTAGAATTTACTGTAAAGAGCTCTGTATAGTATCTCTGTAAAAATTTGAACCATAATTTAGTCCGATTTTTTTTAGTAAATCCAATTATTTTTTCCGCAAATAATTAAATTTAGATTTCACTATGCGATTTTTTAAAAAATTTAGTTATTATTTAATAGCCTTTAAACTGAGGTTTAAATTTTTAAAATTTTCTACAAAGGGGGATACTATACAGAGCGTTTTACGGTATACACAGTCAACGTCGATATAACGGACCCTTCAGTTCCTGCCATGCTATCCGGTAAATCGACGGATCCGCTATAACAGACAAAATTTATGTAATGTTATTTATAGCTGGTTCCGAAAAAAGTCCGTTATAGACCAATATCGATCGTCCGTTATATCGACGCTGACTGTGTATTATAATTTTTCTCCACCAATATAGAAAAAACTTTAAATTCACTATAATATATTTCTATATTACTTTGTTAGAGAAAATTATGCTGTTTCAAATGCACCTAATTAAAATAGTAGGAAATAATATTAAAACATTTTATTGTTTTTTCAATAAAAAAAATAAAGAAATTATTTTTTTATTTAAAATATTGTCGAAGCATAAATAATACCTATAAAATAAATCTTTCAAAAAAGATAGATTTTTATGAGATCTAATAAAACTCATTTTGTTTCTGGCAAATAAATTGTTTTTTATCTGATAAAATGATTATAATTATAATTAAACAAAACACTATTCACTTCTCTACAGGGCAACAATAATATTAGTAATTCCAATAAATGAATCAACATTACAAAATAAATTTGTGTAAAAACCGCGTATATTAAAGATTTTGGAAAATCCTAAACAATTCAAATTCATTTTTTGTTCATTACTAGCTCTATAATTAAAATCATTGTATAATTCGTAAGAAAATATCAACAAAATAATTCGAAACTGTTAATCTTTTTCAAAGAATGTTGGGTCTTTATCAAATATATTAATTTATGTAATAATTAATAATTATTTAAGAAACTGTAACTGGTTCAAATTTGGTGTGATCTCATACTTTATTTTTTCACGCATTCACACACCCATTAGTAAATAAAATCAGAGTTTAACAGTTTTCAAACAAAAACGCATTGTTGTAGATACTTTATCCGATAGGATACAGCAAGCACATTGCATTTTAAGACCAAGAATTTTGCATAATGCTCCCAAAAATTTATTTATTATTATTACGAAAAAGCAAAACGATTTGAAATGGTGATAAATACATTAACGAAATATCCTTCAAGAAAATAAATGATTTTAGTCTTGAATACAGTGAAAATATCTGATAAATTAACAAAAACCGATGAATTTTGATTACCTTTATCTGAATATAATACTGATACACTCTGTTGTGTACTGTTATCGTTTTTATCATTTGTATGATACGTAGAATTGTGGACTTAATCAACCAAAAATCCGGATTCAAATATTTAGTAATTTAAATAACCCAAATTGACTTTTATTTTATCAATTCATGCAAGGTCATATTTAATGTATACATATGCCAATTATTTAGTCAACCTTATTTAAATTTATAAAAGGGCATTCTTGACTTTAAATTAATAACTATTTCTTAATTAAGTGTTGTATGTTTTTTAATTTCATTAAATTATATTATTTTAAATTTTAGTTTAACATTACGTATATTGTTATTCCATAATCTTATAAATTTTACTTTAAAATTGTTTTCCTTATTAAAATAACCTTTTTTAAATATTCATGTGTATATGCCATATGGGCTGATTTGATTCCACAACCGATTTAACTCCAGCAAAAATGATCAAAACTGGGCCAAATCTAAATTGTTTTGGGAGTCAAACAAGATTTTAACAGATTCGTGAGAACTTGAGCAACAAATTGGTATAATTTTGTGTTGCACAGTGAAATGAAATCATCCTTTCCATTAGTGAAATTTTCAAAAAAATCTGTTATCGAGTTTTAATTAAGAAATCCGTTATACTGAAAAGGATTTCTTATAAAGCGTTCTTCACCTCAATCCGCTATGTCGAGTTTTTCGAGTTTCACTGTAATTGGAGTTTTGAGTAAACTTATACTCCTAATACCATTGATGATGAGTGTAAATGCATTAATCCGATTGTTTAAATTGATTTATAGCGACAATTAATTTATTTATTTCTCATATGATAACCGACAATAAATTGTATTTTTAAATTCTATAACATTTTAACCAGGAAGTAAATTCAAAATTTAAGCTGAAGAAAGATATATTCTATCATTTTATTGGATTTTGAATTTAATTCCTAGTTAAGAAATTTAAAGCATACAATTTATTAACCATCAAAGTAATCGAAAAAAAATCTGGAGCGATCCAAAAAAACCCCCTCGAGTAATCCAAACAAAACTTCCCTACTTAACTTAGACACTACTTTCTTGACTTCTTATATTAGTTTAAAATATGCAATTTCTTCATATTCAAACAATTTGATATTTATTTCATAAAATTATAAACATTTTTTACTCAAGAAAATTATTCATCTCTTCTGTGATTTCAGAATTAAAAATCTCTTGTAGTAAATCATAAGGTCAAGATAAAATATTATCTGATAAGCCAAATTTTTATGATGCGAACAATTATGTAAACTCGATGTGCTAAAGGAAGATGTACATGTATCGGTATGAATAATTTTCACGGGTTAATCTTATTTAACAAGTTCGGAAGAACATGCGTGCCAGTCTTCTGGTAAAATTACTTGGTTTCGGATCATGTGGTTCGACCGAACCAGTTGATATCAATTGATAATAATGTGGGTCAGCCGAATTCTAGTTGATTCAATATATAATATATAATATAAAACATAATCCTAATTAGTTCTATTCAAACTGTCTTTTATCAGCTGAATAGTTAGTGGACGGGATATTTAAAATAATGACGGAGCTCGTTATTGATAGAACTTCTATTCACAAAATCTCCAATCAATAGGAAAGAAACATTGCCCACTGATAAAAGACACATCACTCATTTACAACGTTCATAGCTTACATAATAATGTATACAGCATGCGAAAAAGGCAGTTGAAAATAACAAAGCCGTTTTGACGCAAGGTAATACGTATCGGTATGCCAAAATGTTTACCGAGTTACGTAACGGTAATGAAGTTATCGTTATTGCTTTTTTCTTTATTTGGTGTCATTTCCATTATCGTTATTGTTACGTATATGTATGCATTAGCGTTAGTGAATCATGATCAGATATCATTTGTATCGCATGATTTACACACACAAAAATAGAGTTCTATCGTTACCAGTTCCGTTACGAAATAAATAAATTACCGTTTCAAAGTTTTCGTTCATATATCAAACACACATAACCACTAAATTGTTTTATAAAGTGAAGTCAAAGATGGAATTTAAATTCCGAAAACTCATGATTGTAACAAATGCACTCGTTATCGGAAAAAGAAACGCTGCAGCAAATGTTTTACTCATGATCGCAAACGAATTATAAAGTTGAATGTCTATCGAAAGAATAAAGATCAATAAAAGAACGCAATCCGATTTATAAAATCATTTCTGAATGGATGCCTTTCATAAGACTTAAAAACATCGTTGCACAATTACAAGTAGGATCATAAAAAAATTCAGACGAACAAAGAAGTT